CGATCCGGCCCGCACCTTCCAACCGGTCGCTATTTGTCCGCAGAGGTCGCTGGACGTCCGCCTGCTCGGGTCCCATGTGGGCAGCAGGCAGGCGGGTTGGATGCACAGGAGCTGCCATTCAGGCTGCAGCCCAACCCACGTGACAGTCATCGGAGTGCGGGAACTGCTCAAAATCAAAACTGGAACTTGAGCCTGGACTGTGACTGTGGCCAGCCTGTCCGTAGTGAGGAATGACCCTTGAAACCGCAAGGCTTCCACCTCTGGCACCATGAAAAAGTGAATTCCAGGCATTTCCTGAGAGGAACGGCGGTGTCCAAGAGTTTAATGCGGAGCAGCTCAGCCCAGCCCTTTTACAAAAGCTGCTGACTCGGTGGAAGCATTCTGGCTTGGCCCTTCCCAGAGCCTGGGGAGACATGAGTTTGTGTAGAAACCCTGAAGGGACGGTTGTTCACTCAGTTAACCTAAGGATGGGTGGGAGTGGGCATTTGTGGAGAAACTTTAGGTGTACCGTTCTGGGACAAAAATGCCAAACAGCAGGAGGAAGTAGGAAGGAAGACTTAGGGACAGATTTAGGGCTTACCTCAGGAAGCCTGCTCATCTTATGGTTCAGAAGAGGAGGCCAAGGATCGCCCTGGCCAGTTTAGGACAGGCAGAGGGGTGCTCTACTCCATCCTTCTTATGCTGAGTGATTCGTTTTAAAACGAAATAAGCTCAGTGGTTGATCTTCATGGCAGGTTTTGTGTGTGTGTTGCTGTGCTGGGGACTGAACCCAGGGATGCTCTACCACAGAGCTATATCCCCAGTCCTTTTCGTGTTTTATTTTTTATTTTATTTATTTATTTTGGTTCTGGGGATTGAAACCAGGGATGCTTTACCACCGAGCTACATTCCCATCCTTTTTAATTTTTTATTGAGACAGGGTCTGGATAAGTTGCTTAGGGCCTTGCTAAATTGCTGAGGCTGGCTTTGAACTTGCCTCAGCTTCCCGAGTCACTGGGATTACAGCCACGTGCCAGGGTGCCAGGCTACAAGTTTTCATTAGAGATCATAGTCAGGAAGTGATGAAATTTCTCTTTGGCCTCTTCTCAGCTCCCCTTTCTGAATCTCTCTCCTTCCTCTCTGAACTGTGACCCAACCAGGAAGCTTCTTTATATCTTTTGATAAACTTTTATTATGGATCTCAGCATATCTAAACATCTACATTAAAAGACTTGATAACTTCCTTGTCTAACTGACAAATATCTTAAGGCACAATAGTGTGACTTTTTAAAGATGTGAAGCTTGGAGCAGCCAGACTTGCCTGAATTGAGGTACTTTATTCCTTGCTGTGTGCAAGTTACAAATGCCCTAGAAGCCCCTTTTCTTTTCTTTTTTAAAGAGAGAGAGAGAGAATTTTAATATTTATTTTATTTTATATTTTTAGTTTTCGGCGGACACAACATCTTTGTTTGTATGTGGTACTGAGGATCAAACTAGGCCGCACACACGCCAGGCGAGCGTGCTACCGCTAGAGCCACATCCTCAGCCCAGCCACATCCCCAGCCCTCGAAGCCCCTTTTCTCAACTATAAAGTGGTCTCTGTAGCTATTATATGAGGGAATATACATGTGTTTGGCACTCAGCAACAGGGAAGCCTGAGGAAGAAGGATCCCAAGTTCAAGGCCAGCTTGAGCAACTTAGCAAGGCCCTACCTCAAAATAGAAAGTTAAAAGGGGGACTGGGGCTGTGACTCAGTGGTAGAGCACTTGCCTAACACATGTGAGGCACTGGGTTCAATCTTCAACACCATAAAAAACTAATAAAAAATATTACTATAATAAATACAACAGTAATAAAAATAAACAAAGACATAAAAAGATCTTTATTAAAAAAAAGGGGGGGGGAGGGATGTAGCTCAGTGGTAGAGCCTCTGGGTTCAATCCCCAGTACCAAAAAACAAAAAAGGCTGGTCACTCAAGCACCAATGTGACTGACCTCCAAAATCAGCATGTTGCTTGTCACATAATAGGTACTTAATAAATCTGTTAGTCATCGAATACAGCATCATCTTTTTCTAACAGATAATGCAAATCTCTCCTGCCTTAATGAGGATCCTTAATGAGGATGCCTTAGATGTCGTCTGCATGTTGCATCTTGCAGGACAAACCTCAGGGTCCTGAGCTCTGCTGACACTTCCCACCCACAGCCTGGTGGGTGCTCTGGTCCTCAGGGAATCACATGCACAGTGTATGGGCCCGGTGACAGAGGGAGGGTGGGGGGCATTAAGATGGACTGCATGTCCTTATTGTCCTAGGAGCCCCTCCCCTGGTGTCTTCTCTGGAACACAACAAAGGCTAAATAAGCAAAATCTCAGAGTTTTCTTCTATCCGTTTCTCCAGCTTCCCCAGTTGTTCTGAAATCTGATCTTATTCTCCAGAGCTGACTTGGACACTGAATAAATTTTTGGTTTATTTCATCTCATCTGAGTCCCTAGAAGCAGTCCCAGGAAAATTCTGTCCAGTGTTAACTTTACTGTAGAAGATTGATATTATGGGCTGAACTGTGCCCCTCCCACAAAATCCACACTCTGAAATTCTGACCCCAGAATGAACAGTGAAGTAACCTGGTGGAGAACTTTTTAACAGCTCTATGGGCACAGAGCTTTGCAAGCACTGCTGGAGTCATGCGATGCCTTTTGTGCATGTGCAGGGTCCAGTAGCAGTCCATAAAACAAACCAGAATAAGATTAGGTTTCAGAGCAACTCGGGGAAGCTAGAGAATCGGGTATAAGGAGAAGATGGAGGTAGAACCTTTAAAGAGGTAGTTAAGTTAAATTGGGGTTGTTAAGATGACTGATGTCCTTATAAAAAGAGGGAATTTGCACACACAGAAAGTCACCGGGAGCCTGACAGGATGGTACATACCTATTAAGCCAGTGACTCAGGAGGCTGAGGCTGGAGGATCACAAGTTCAAAGCCAGCATCAGCAATTTAGTGAGTCCTTAAGCAATGTAAGACCCTGTCTCAAAAAAATAAAAAGGGTTAGGGATGTGGCTCAGCAATAAATCACCCCTGAGTTAAATCCGCAGTATCCAAAAAGAAGAAGAAAAGAAAGACAGACACTGGGAGTGGTCATGAACCAGGAAAGATCATTTGAAGACAATCATCTGCAAGCCAAGGAGATAGACCCTAGGAAAAACCAGACCTGCCCACACCCGATGGAAACCTTGCAGGCTGTGGGTCTTTGTTACAAAATCCCAAGCTACATGTTCCAATGGGAACCCAGGGGATTTACCTTATGCACCCCGATACTACAGACCACAAGGAGCTCCTTTCAGCCCAGACCGCGCAGGGGAGTTGGGAGTACAGAGCTCACAGGGCCAGAGCCAACCCTGCTGCCACCCCTGGCCCAGCAGTGAGGGGTCGTTTCTGCAGTGATGGGAGCCAGTCAGAACCACACGGTAGTGTACAGAGTCAGGTGGGTGATGGCCAACAAGTGCTCTGTGTTTGGGTGCCACCTGACCTGCACATGGACAGGCAGCAACACATGCCTCTAGTAGTCCTTGCAAAGCTGTGTGCCCACAGAGCTGTTAACCGCCAGGTTACGTCACTGCTCACTTATTCCCACTATAACCCTCGAGGTGCTTTTTCCTACTCTGGGGAAATCTGCTAAATGGTTACTTGCCATTGGGGAAGGGGTTAATGTGGTAGTCCTTCTTCTCCTGCTGAGGTGAACCTTTAACTTCTGAGAATTCACAGACTCACATTTCTTCCTGGTTTGCCTTTTTATCACTTTTCAGGGTTCCACATTCATAGATTCTGGAGAGTAAGGAATTGTACTTCAATAATTGATGTCCCCTCTGACCTATGAAATCATTGTCCAGCACTTCCAATTCCATGCCTGATGGCCTGAGTGGAAATTAACAGGCTAGACTCGAGGTCATATTTTGCAACCTGCACATTCAGTTGTACAACATGCAACTCTATTCACTTCCCCATAACTGAACTTTCTTGCCTCACCTCCCTCCTGATAGCAGAAAACTGCACCTACTTACTTTCAGACTCTTCACACCTGTGCCGATGCAAAATATCAATTCTGCTTTACAGAAAAACAAGATAGATTGTTCTGAACCAAATATAAGTAGCTTAGGCCTGGGAACACAGATTTGAGTTATTTGAAGGCGTGTTCTGAAGAACAAGGACCTGCAAGGACCCTTTTGGCAGAGAACAAAGTTAATCACAAACCAGTTCATTCAGGGAATACATTGATAAAGTGGATGGTACCTTGCTGCATTCTTAGGAGAAGACTGGAAAATCAGGGGCCTGTTCTTTTACCTAGTTATCAGTGCTAGGCCAGACACCAGGTCAGAACCATGACTTCTTTATCTTAGGGCCTCAGGTACTTTGTCCTGCAGGTCCATCTGCCTGGGCTTCATCTCTCTGGGGAGGAAGAAGTTATCTCACTGGTGCTTGCTAAAGAATTCTATTGCAATAGTTTCCTGGGAAATGCTTCATTTCACACTTTAGTGATTTTTCAGACATTTCAGGTTTAAAATTCAATCAATTCCACCTCGAACTGTTCCTTTTTCCCTGGGTGGGTCTGCACAAATGGACCTGGCCAT